ATCTCTGTTATTGGCTAAACATGTTCCTCTTTGGTAAGGACCAGAAGAAACACTGGAGGGCTGGGGGACCAGTGGCACTGGACCAGTCCAATGCCTTGCTCAGTGATGTCAGCTTGTTATCATGGTTATCTGAAGGATGTCAGGACATGCCTTGATTAAATCAGGACTATAATGCTGTAGGAATTCTCACAAACAGGAATTTTGCCACTTCCCGTGCAGGGTACTTCTTTTTAATAGCTAAGGAGTGGTTTTTGAAAATACTGTTTGTTCATTTTAATTTTGTTTCCTCTCCTCTGCAGGCAATTCATCCCAGCCTGGTGCTCAGAGGAACTCCCAGCGGGGCATACCAAGGAGTGCTGTCAGGAGACCTGTTGCCTTAAAAGCAAGAGGAACTTGTGCTGCTGCCTTTGAGAGCAGTGCCCCAGCTCCTCCAGCCCAGGGACAAAGGCAGAAGCCTAAAACTGTCTCAGAATTACTGAGAGAGAAGAGGTTAAGGGAGGCCCAGGCTAAGAAGGCCATGCAGAGGACAGTGTTGGTGGCCCCACAGGTCCTGGTTTCGGGGCCTTTGATAATCCAGCACCCACCACAGCAAATCATTCCTTCTGCACAAGTAGGGAGCAAACCTGCAGCAGCTGGTTGTGCAAATAGCCAAGTACAGGGTGCACCAGCTCCAGTGCCAGCAAGTGCTTCTGCTGCACGTTCCACTTCTGCTGTTGTGCCTGAAAACCATTCCTCAGCAGTGCCAGAAACGGGGGAAGGCCCTGGTTGCTCACAAGGGACAGATCTGCAGTGCAATAAGGAACTAAAAGAGGAAGCTTTGGAAAGCAGCCCTGAAGGAGGGGGTTTTCCAGGCATGAATCCAGCTGCAGCAGAGAAGGCCCCATATCAGGGAGGGTGCAATGGTCAGGTCGTAGCCGGTAGCTCAGCCCCAGTCGTGCTGCAAAACCAGGCTTTTGTGCCAGGCCAGATCACAGTGGTGCCTGTGGGCCTGGAGTCTGGCACCAACAAACTGTCCCTTTCCACACCAGTCCCCTGTGAGCTGAACAGTAAAGGGCCACAACACAGGCCAGTCAGCCTCTTGCCTGCTCTTGTCACTCCCCAGGCTGGATCTCCTGTGATTCCCAACAGCATCCTGCCCTTCACATGGGTGGTGACCCCACAGGCTCTGCTCCCCACCGCTGTGCAAACTGTGGTGGGTGTTCCCCAAGGAACACCAGATGCTCCTGGGAGAGGTCAGTGTCAGACAGCTGTGACTTCCAATGGCAGTGTCTCTGGTTTGGGAGTCACTCCTGTAGCAGCTGGAGCAAATCCACCTCACCCCAGCAGTGCAGAGACAAAAGGGCCAAGTTCCCAGGGAGCAGGAGTTCCTTTGGGAAAGGCAGCTGACCATTCCACGATCCTCTTACCCAGGACCTCGGTGAGTCCTGGATGCACCTCATCCAGCGTTTCTTCTGTAACACCTGCGTGTTCCAATGGCTTCTCCAAGGCTTCTGACTCCCCTGCAGCTCCGACTGCTCCTCCAGCTGACACTGCAACCCTGGGTGCCGTGGTGCTGCCCCAGACACAGCCCCCTGCAAACACTCAGGGGGCTGATCCCCAACGCGTGTCCAGCCTCGCCAGCTTGGGAAAGAGCCCTGACTCTGCTACAACAAACCCAGAGATCATCACACAAGGGGTTGTGCTCCAGCCAGGAGATCGGGTTCCTCATGGCAGTGTCCCAGGGAGCTCTGGTTGCTTTGCTGCCCAAGCCTTGAAGAACAGACCCATTGCCTCCAAACCACCGACGGCGCAGCCCGAGGACGTTCCCCCCCAGCCAAGCACTTCCAGTGCAGAGAAGAATCTCCTTGACCTCAGCCTGATTTCCCTGGAAGACGAGGAGCTGGTGAGGGAGTGGCTGAGTGGGAAACGAGGTGTCCAGGTCCCATCCCTGCAGACCAGGCTGCCTTATTTGCCGCCTTTTCTGTGTAACATAAAAACCCTCTCAAAGCTTCTCCTGCAGAAAGAAGCTCTGGAGGAGCAAGCATCAAGTCTCCTGCCCTCTGATGCCACTGAGGATGGAGGCACTCGGGATGTTTTCCATGCTATTGGAGAACTGGTGCAGCAGAAACTGGGTGATAACCCTGCTTACCTCCTGCTGAAAGCCAGATTCCTGGCAGCATTCACACTCCCAGCTGTCCTGGCAACTCTGCCTCCTCCAAAAGTGACAACAACTCTGTCAGCCAGCAGGAAGCAATATGAGGAGAGTGATGAAGAGGAGTGGCAGAGTGAGAAGGAAGTGTCTGAGGAAGAGAGTTGTGGGAATGAATTAACAGGAGTACAGTTGGATTGGAGAGCTGGGGACGAGCCTGGAGACAAAGACGCTGATTTACTAAATCAGGTAAAACAGATGCCAGGAGCTAAAAGCAGAAAGTTACTCCCAGCTAAATATTGCACTGGAACCCATGGAGAATCCCTCACTGTTTTTAAGTGTAGCAGAAATTTGGTCCTTTTGAATAAACATGGTTTTACAGCTGATAAAAGGAAAAGCTCTGCAGCTCGACTGGGAGCCCTTAGTCCAAGGCTAAAAGTCTGTGCTTTATGGGGCACATTAAACTTGACAATTCCCAGAAGTGGACATCAAAGCTCCCTTCCTTTTACAGCTTATAACCTGCTGCACTGACTTGTATTTTTGAAATCAGGCCCTTGTTTTTCATGGTATGTGTCCTCAAAACCCCAGTAATATCAGGGGAATTGTATATGTCCTATTTACATCTTCATCCCGAATTGGTTTATGTGGCTAGAGATTATTAAACTGCATGGATTGATGGAAGCCACAAGGTCCACCCCAAGTCAATCTCTAATTTTTAAGTTAAATCCATTACTGCCCAGCACTCTTTCTTACAAAACACACCAGGAAGTTGTGCAGCTCAAACTTGCATTTCAATTCATTGTGACTCCAAATAAACAAACAAAACACTGATGAAGATGAATCAACAAGGCAAATGGCTGTTTCTATAGAACATGACCAAGCTGCCTAAAAATCAGAGCTTCCCCAGCAGTTTTCTTTCTGTTTTGGCTCTGACTTTTGGGTCTGGGCCAAGTTCAGCATTGTCTGAACTGTCAGCAGTTGCTCCAAAAGTCACCAGCAGGTTTTCACTGCCAACCTCTCTTCTGTATCATCTTCCAGGCTCACTCCCACTCCTGTGATTCCCACTACAGCCAGGTTGTTTTCCTGGTGGTTTCCAGGGGAAAGTTTGTGGTAGGGGTTGTGTTTTAGGAGCAATCAGGAGCTGGTGTGACCTGTGCTGTCTGGGGCACTGTCTGGCTCCAGCAGTGAGAGCCAAAGCATCACTCGTGGCAGGCACCCAACCTCTAACAAAAGGTTGTGCCACAACAGAAACAACAGCAGGAATTGCTCTGCTTTGGGAGCAGGAACAGGAGGAAATGTCAGTGTTGACTGGAGGCTTTGCTCTGAAAACTCAGGGATATTTTGTGCTTTGTCTGACACTGGTAATAGAATGTTGTCCCATGCTTATTTTCGAAGGTAAATGGAAGATTATTTTGGAAGTCTTGCTGAGCTCCATAAAATAAAAAGATGGCTGAAGGGGTTATTTGCAGTTATGGTCATTCTCATGATGCTGATCATCTCCTGCTTATGTTGCAGGGCCTGGGGGCTGAAGAGGGCACTGCCCACTCTGCCTTGGACTCCTGCACTGCTGTGGCTGATGCCAATGCTGCTCCAGTCAGGAGAAGTGCCCGCTGCAGGAAGAGGAGGAGGATGTGAGAAGGAGATATGTTGGTACCTACTCAGACTTGTATTTTGTGCCTGAGAAGCTGAACCACATTTGTCTGTGGTTCAGCTCAGACAATGAATCACAACCCCAGGAAAGGGCTGAAATTATCTCTGCTCTTGTTCCCCGAGGACACAGAGTTCTGCAGTCACCACTAATCACAGCCTAAGGCTGATAATCTGTCGAGGGGAGTGAAAGTTCATGTCTGTGTGATAAAATTATATATACAACAGTCACGAAGTTCAAACATTTGGCAGCCTTTTAGTCCATGCCCTGCCTACTAGTGTGGTACCTAGTTGGTAGCACTCTACGGGCTTGGCTGCCAGTGGGTGCTTCACTGGAGTTTTAACACTTCTTTGAACAACACTGTGGGGTTTTGAGGGTATTTCCCCTTTATGGCTTCATTTCTCTACACTTATAACAGGCCAGCTTCTGTAGGGTACAAGTGTGTGATGTCCTTAGTACCTGTTGAGGCTTTTGGTGCAAGAGATGGAATGAACACGAGCAGTGTTTGATTCTCATGGTTGTCAGATGACGCTGCTTGAGGTTTTTTTCTTTAAAATTCATTTTAGAAACTCCAAAAGGGCAACTTCCCTATAAAAATGCTGTGACTGATAGGAGCTGTTTTGTGCTTTGTTACAGAGGTCACTGGAATGAGCTCTGCCTCCCTGCATGGCAGTAGGAGGTACTCTTTGCACTGTTCACTTTTACCACTTCCAACACACCAACTGGATGGACCTGGGGAAGAGGAAAATGGCTGGACTGGTTTTCCCATCACCCAACAAAATCTGCATCCGTAGGAAAGGTGCAGAAATGAAAGAAAATGGCTGGAGGGAAATCTTTCAGCCGTGGACCAGTTCTGCTCTTTCAAACTCACACCTGCCATAGATGCTGGGGGAGAAGGTGCTGGAAATCTGGGGGAACCAGCAATGGTGGTTATTTATTTCTTTTTTGTTCAGCCCCTATTTATGTGAATGTTTATCCATGTTCAGAATATGTTGTTAATTGGGTGTTTTTTAGTGCTGTGACAGTGGCTTTGCTTGCTAACTGACTGAATGCTGCTGAATAAGCAGCAGATTAATTTTGTATCAAAATGAGTCTTAAGTATTTGTTGAAATACAGATGTTTTATTTTTCTCACTTAAAAATTACTGCTGCATTCTGTGTGGTCTTTTTCCTGGTAAATAGTGCTTTTAATAACGTGTGTATGAGTGTGATTGCTAATGAGAAAAATGAAGTTTGCAAGCTGCATGAAAACCAGGGAGAATGTGGAAAATGAATATTCATGTGGCTAAAAAGGATTGAATTCAGCTTGGATTCTTTCTTGATTCTTCCACAGCCTGCCCTGTAGAGACATCAGCAAATCACTTAACAACAACTTGTTTCTTCATTTATAAACCAGCAATTTCTGTCTCCCAGAGAGGTGCAAGGTTAGCTGAGGCAAAGCTGATAAAATCTAGATGGAAAATGCTGCAGAAAGCTTCGTGTCACTGCACTGACTGAGCTTCCCCTGAGTGTGGTGATGAGTTCTGTGAGTTCCAACTCTTCTACAAGGGCCCTTCAGGCAGAGCTGGGGTCAGGGGGACAGTGGGTGCCAATGCTGCTGTAATTCGGTGTCAAGACATTCTGGAGCAGTTGGAATGATTGTGGAATGGCTTTCCTCTTGCAGTGTACTCTATTTTCCATAAGCCAGTCTAGATAACACTTTTCCAAGAAATTCGTCTGGGTCAGAAGCAGTTCTGGGTGCTGTTCACAGGCTGTTATGGTGATCTGTGCTCTAAATGACTGTTGTCCTCTGTAAATGCTGCTCAGGAGGTGCCCTTGTAAACTGTTTGTGGAAAAACTGTTCAAGAAGCAGCTGTCTTTGTCCTTTTTCAGGATTAAACTGACCTGTCACTATAGAACAAAACCTCCCAGGGTTAGATTGGTCAATTAGCAGCCACTGATTGCCTTCAGCAAGGGCACAGCTGACACAGGTACTGTACCTTTTTTTAATGTAAAGCTAATTTAATGCCTACCAAGAGTCACAGGCTGCAAGAATCTCTGAGCATCTCTGCCCCACTCCTAATGATAACATGGAAAAACTCTCCACAAACTGAGAAAGCAGAACAAAGAGTGGAGTGGGAAGCTAATGGGAACATGTGTCATGCTGCCATGGCATCGGAGCCTGTGTGTTCTCCAGGCTTTTTTAACAGACTCTTGAACAGAGTCCTTGTCTCAGCTGCATCTCCAGGACTGTGGGAAGTGGGGGAGGCAGGCACAGGTCTTGTGTTGATGCTCAACTGCTTCTATGCTGCTTTCTGTGCTGCTCCTTTAATTGCTGTTAGAGCCACAGGCTGTAATTTGGGAGTCGTGGGTTACGTTCCTCGCTTTGCCGAGGCTTCACTCCCTTTCCCCTCAAAGTACCGAGTTGTCATAATTATGCTTGAAGCTTAAGGACATCCAAAATTAGAGGCATCATTATGGAAATCATCCTTTTCAGCAGAACTCTAAACCAAGAGCGAGTCCTTGCTGCCACCTGCTTTCCTGGACAGAGATGTTAACAGCTGGAAGGAAGGCCTTTGAAGAGCCTCTAATTTTGTGGCTGGTTTTAATCCCCTGAAATCAGCTGCACAGATCCATGCCTGTGACTTTTGTTCTTTGTCTTTTTTCAGCCTTTCTGACCACTACACAAGGAAACTTTCTGGACCCTAGCAGGTAGTTCAGTGGGGCAAATGGAAAACCAAGCCAGAATGAGTCCAAAATCACTGTGTGTGTATTGCTGCTGACTCACGATGCCACTACCATCTTTCTCCTCCCCAACACCCATTCTGGCTTCCCCTTTTTTTATTTATCTCTTTTTTTCCCCTTCCATTTCCCGTCTTAGAGTACGGCTGAGTAGTTTCCCCTTTTCTCAAACTAATTTTGCTCCTGGAATGATCTTTGCTCTGGCCAGAATATAAAGGGAGGCTGCACCCAAGACACGTTTTCTCAGAGCCAGGACACAGGAGGGGAAACAAGGAGATTTTTGTGACTGCACAGGCTCAGGTTGGTCCGTGTAATACAGAATGGTTTATGTTAATGGGGAAAAAATATATTTTACAGCTCTGAGGCAACAATGGGTTTAGCAACAGGGAAGTGCATCTCTTGTAATCTGGTGTTTGTGACCATAAATTGCTGAAGCTGCAGAGGTGGGATCTGTGAGCTGGGATGTGGGAGGCAGGTGACCTCAGGGCTTCCTGGTGCTGATCTTCACCTCTGTGTGTACAGTGGAAATCATGGACAGCTCTGTGTATGGATAAGGCACAACATGCAGAAGAACACCTTTTGTATGATGAGAGGTGAACTCAGTAAAGGCTGTTACCACTGGGGGGTTTCACAGAGCCTTTTGTGGGTGTCAGACTTGGTGTCTGACAGAATTCAGGGATCTCAAATGCTGGGGAATGGAGAAGGAGGTGTGAACTGTTTGTAAAGCAGAGGCAACAGCTTATTAGGAGAGTTTTAAAGGTGTTTTCACTTTTTGCCATCATCTTATCCTGTGTTGTATCCCACTCTTTTTGTGTTGCTTATGGGGATTAAAGATTTAATTCTAAGCATAGCTGAGCACCAGGGTGATGTTTGTTAGTGAGACTTGACAGCACTTTCTTTGGATAGCTGTTGGGAATCTAGAGTTGGCTGGATTTTCCTCTGTTCACAGGGCTCTCAATGACTTGCCTGTCTGCACTAAGTCTGTTGCTAAATAGTTTTACTTTCCTGTTGCAGTGAACTCTGGGAGCTGCTCAGCTGCTTGGAAGGAGGTTCATCGAGCTTTGGTGACTTCTGTTTTCTCAGAATTTCTCCCCAACTGTGGCAGCAGCACTGGCACCACCCTCAGCTGCTGCTGCCCCCACTCTGGGACTTCCCTTTGTGTGAGGTGTGACTGTTCCACAGGTGATTTGCCAGCACATGGCAGATGTGCTCCTGTGTCTAAAAGACACTTTTCCGTTCTCAGTCTGTGAACATCCTTGGCTTTTCCAGCACACTCCAGGAGGCTGAGTCTGTTTGCTTGTTTTCTGGGGGTTGTTTTCCAGGCAGGACAGCGCTGCTCACTGACACTTCTCACCGCTGACATGTTGGAGGAAGATAACGATGAGATCTGCTGGAATAACCTGGAGAACTTCCGAGTGAAGCTGATCTCCGTGATCGACCCTTCCCGGATAACCCCCTATCTGCGGCAGTGCAAAGTGCTCAGCCCTGACGATGAGGAGCAGGTCCTCAACGACCCCAGCCTGGTCATGCGCAAACGGAAGGCAGGTGGGTGGCTGAGGGCAGCCTTTGGCTCCCTGGATGCTCCTGTGCTCTGCTGGGAGCAGATTGGAACAGTTAAAATGCTTTTGTTTCGTCACTGGGCAATTGGTTTAGGATTTTCTGGGGAATTAGGCACTGGAAGGGCTGCCCAGGGAGGTGGTGGTGTCACCATCCCTGGAGGTGTTTAAGGAAAGACTCGTTGCCATGGTCTAGTTGACAAGGTGGTGTTTGGTCATAAATTGGACTTAATAATCTCAGAGCTCTTTTTCAACCTGATTCTGTGATTCTATGATTTAATCCCAGGGACTTCTGTATGTGGAGAATGTGGAGCCATTTTTTGTGATGTTAGAAATAGGTGAAGAGATGAATAACTGAACAGAATGTCCTGTTGCCATTCTTGCAGGTGTTCTTCTGGACATTCTTCAGCGAACAGGACACAAGGGCTTTGAGGCCTTTATGGAGAGCCTTGAGCTTTATTATCCACAGCTGTATAAGAAAATAACTGGCAAGGAGCCCAGCAGGGTTTTCTCTATGATTATAGGTACTGTTTGTGTCCTCAAAAACAGCTCTTCATTTGGTGTTGCTGTGCAGAGTCGGGAGCACTCCCTGCCTTGCTCCCTGTGTGCTTTGGGAGGGTTCTGGGAAGAACAGCCCTGATGTCACAGGCTGGACTGGGGGGAGGGTGGAGAAGGAAGGAGAGGGATCAATTCTTTCTGCCTGTTCTGTCAGTGGCACTGTGGTGCAGGAGGGCACAGAGCAGGGGGAAGCAGCGGGGATGACTTGATCCCACAAGTTCAGGGTTGGCATGGGCTGATCCCGAGCTGCAGTGGGAAGTGGGGGGAAGCTGAGCTGTGTGTGTGTGTCCTGGGAGCAGCCAGGACAGCAGGGGCTGACTCCTGCCCCTCAAACAGACACCGCTGGGGAATCGGGCCTGAGCCAGGTGCTGATGAACGAGATCATGAAGCTGCAGAGCGCGGTGCAGGAGGAGCGGCGCAGGGCCCAGGAGCTCACGGTGTGGCTGCACAGCAAGGAGGACACCATCAGGGAGATGTGGGTGAGGGACAGCCTGCTCCGAAAGCACCAGGAGCGGGCCCAGAGGATGAAGGAGGAGAGGGACAGCCTGAGCAGGGAGCTGAAGAAGTGCAAGGATGAGAACTACAACCTGGCCATGAGCTACGCCAAGCAGAGCGAGGAGAAGAGCACGGCCCTCATGAAGAACAGGGACCTGATCCTAGAGGTCAGTCACATGTCTCCAGCTTCCCCCTTCTTATCTGACCCCTGGAAGGCTGGGCTGAGCACCTGACTTGTCTTTGCCCAGCATGAAGCACTGAGCATCTTCTCTAGCAAACAGCATGACTTGGTGGTCTCTGGCTCAGCCCTGTAGGCCCATGTTCTACAAGTTGTGCTGTGAAATATTAACAGCCTTTCCCTCTGCTCTCACAAAGGCAGCACAGGAACAACATGGATCTGTTAACACACAGGCAGGACTCTGGTCCCCAGAGCACCAAACCTCCTGAGGAAAACAGAGTGGGGAAAAACTTGCCCTGTGTTTGTCTGGGGAACGGAGCGAGAGCTGCTTTTGCAGGCCAGAGTTTTCCCCGTGTTCCTGATGAGCTCTGAACCTTCTCACAGATTGACCACTTGAAGCACAGCCTCATGAAGGCTGAGGATGACTGCAAGCTGGAGAGAAAGCACACCATGAAGCTCAAACACGCCATAGAGCAGCGCCCCAGCCATGAGGTGGTGTGGGAGATCCAGCAGGAGAAGGAGCTGCTCTTGGCCAAGAACCAGGAGCTCGAGAACACTCTCCAGGTTGGTGGGCTGGTTGGATATGGATTTGTGAGAAGTGGTTACTTGTAGCAGCCAGGGAAGTGATAAGGCTGCATATTCTGTGGGTCAGCTGTGAGCTTGTTCTCCCAAGTCAAATAGAGCACTGGGGCTGGGACAGTTGATATGGAGTCAGGTGCTGGCTGTACCTCACTTTTTTCTTTGTCCAGCAGGTTGCCAGGGAACAGAATTTGGAGAAGAGCCTCTCCAAGGAGACTCTGGAGAGTGACTGCAAGCAGATTCTGGATGAACGGCGGGAGCTGGTGGACACCATTTACAGCCTGCGCAAGGAGCTGCGCCGAGCCAGGGCCCTCCAGGACAAAGTAGGTGCTGCAGGGCAAACTCCTCCTCAGGGCCCTGCTGGGAGACAGGCAGGTGAAGCACCTCTTGCCTGTGGAGCAGAGCAGCTGCTCAGGAGCAATCCTACTGTAGTATCTGTATTTTAGCACTCTGTGTGCAGGTGATGGCTCAGGCTGTGGAGGTCTGGCCAGAGCAATCTGTGACACAGAGTGGGAGTGGTGCCAGTCTGGCTCAGGTGCTTTTTGACCTTGTCTCAGCAGTATGCAGAGGAAAAAGAGATGCTTGAGCTGCAGTGCACATCCCTGAGGAAGGACTCCCAGATGTACAAGAAACGGATCGAAGCTGTTCTGCAGCAGATGGAGGAAGTGGCTGCAGAAAGAGACCAGGTGATAGAACATTCCTCATGGAATGCTGCTCATCCCTTCTCTGCTGCCTGAAGTGGGCAGATGTGTAACCCTGACTCTGCTGCTGTGTGACATGGCACGTGTTGTCCCTCTCCCCAGGCTCTCCTGACCCGGGAGCAGTTCCACATGCAGTACTCCAAGAACCTGGTGGAGAGGGACGCTCACCGCAAGCAGATCCGGGAGCTGGGGGAGAGGTGTGACGAGATGCAGCTGCAGCTCTTCCAGAAGGAGAGCCAGCTGCTGGCCACTGAGGCCAAGCTGAAAAGGTTGCAACTGGAGCTGCCCACCCCGGTAGGACTGTGATCCCTGGGATGGGATTGGGAAGCTGAGTGTGGGGCCAGAGTGTGGCTGTTCCGAGGCCTTTGCACCTGGACAGCTCCAGGGACCACCTGCCTGGGGAACCATCAAAATTAATTAAAACCAAATGCTGAGTTTAGACAATGAAAGACATGATGGTTCCTATGACCTGACCTTAGTTCCAGGCATGGATAAGGTGGGCTGATGCTGTGGTTGTGTTTAGAACATGTCCAAAGGTGATGAGGGGGGATCCTCAACCATCAAAGAGTGAACTCTGTTTAGAGACTTTGTGTGAGCCATTTGGATGGAATGGGAAGCTAAACTTTCTGGAATTAAATTAGATATACAGGGGCTTTTAATTAATATGGCATCTTGTGTGCTTTCTCCAAGTGACCAAACAGGAGTGTAGGAGGCAGGAATTCCACACTTCTCTGTTTTTTGGAGCTCTTAGTCTCCTCTATGTTCCCTTGCTGCCACTTCCTTGCTTGTGAGAAATGATTAATTTCTACTGGTTTTGTTTCAGACCTCTGACCTGGATGATACCTCCTCCCGAGATTCCCAGGAAGTGAGTAGGGTGCCTTGTTTACCTTTCACTTTCTTTTGGGATGGTTTCATATTCCTCACTTGTGCTCAGCTCCCCAAGTATCAGCAGTTCCCAATCCATGGCTCAGGCTCCTTTCATGACATGAAAAAGTACAGAGGCAGCCAAACAGTGACAGAATCTCCCTGTGTCCTGAGGATTCTCAGTGTAGGACACAGTTATGGCATTAGTCAGCAAGATTTGCTGAGTTTAAACAAATCAGGGGCATTGAATGATTTGGAATTGCTTCTAATTGTCTCTCTTGTGTGAGAACAGGCAAAAATAAGTCTTGCCCTGGGGACATCTGTAGTAAAGAGTTTCACTTAGTTCATAACATCAGAGTAGGAGTGATTGTCACTGTCATGTTGTCTGGAGGCCAAAGGAGCTCATTATCCTATTCATGGAGGACAAATCCATGAGTAAATCTGTAGCTCCTGGCTGGGTCTGCTCTTTGCTGACAGCAAGGTGCACCAGGGAAAGGCTGGTTCTAAGCATGTCCAGTTTCTTATATTCCTGGATCTCTTCCTGCAGACTGAGGGGCAGTTCTCACATTCTCCCTCTCTTTCTGTCCCACAGCTCACCCTTCACAGCCACCTGGATGAAGATGCACAGCCCACTAAAAGTAAGGCTTTACTTGGGAGAACACTGGGCAGAATTCTGGAGAGAATGGTCCAGTCTTTCAAAGGGAAATGAAAAGACATTTCTGGGTTTTATTTTTAGCTGGTCACAGAGCAGAACAAACATCCTTCCACTTCAGCTGGACCGTGTGGCTTTCTCCAGGGATTCTTCCCTCCCCTCTTCCCTTTTATGTAGCAGGTTGTTTTCCCAAAAGCAGAACCAGGTGGTGAGTGCTGTCACTGGTTCTGTTTCTGTGGCATCCCCAGTGGAAATGATTCAGCAGTGTGGAAAGGAATGAATAGGCTCCTCTTAGAACTTGAAAATCTCTTTTGAAACAGGTTGAGAAAGGGAGAAAACTGGCACAGTAGAAGAAATTTTCTGGTTTGATCTCCTGGAAGATCTAAATGATCTGTTGATTCATTGAGAGGGGAGATTTTTCACAAAAGCTGAACAACACTGATCCAAAAAGATTTTTTTTATTATTCTGCCTCGCTCAGTTCAAAAATATATATCATGACATCTGGTCACTACATAAGGAGTTTCACCAAAATATGGTCTGATGTGAAGTGCCTTGATATGCATAACTTGAGGAACGGATAAATTACTGTTAAAATAATAATTAACATGTTTCTCATAGTGACCTCTAACATGAGTATTATTTTTTTAATGATGCTGAGCAGAGGTGCTGCTTGGTAAAGGTTTGTTTTGCTCCTGCATAAGCAGAAACTGGGGAACTCCACCATCTGAGCAAGACTCAGGGCTCAAGTAAAATGAGAAGTGACTCTGCACTGATCACAGGATCAAATCCTGGCATTTTGGGCTTGGTTTCAGTTCTGCTGAGGTCTCTGTGCAGTTACATCACAACTGTTCTGTTTGAAGAACTGGTGGAGGGAGAAGTTACTTCACAATGGCAACTCTGACTAAAGGTGTGATTTTTCCATCTCTCAGAAGATTGCCCTGAAGGACCAAACCAGCAGCTCAGCCCTGGAGAGGACAATCTGCCCCCAAAGTCACTCAGTGTAAGAGAATCTTCATGGGCTCTCCTGGGGTTTGTGGTCTTTAATGTTCTCATTAATGATGGATTTACCAGGTTTGAGAAGCATGTCAGCTTTTCCAAAATCTGAGCACTTAGTGCAGAATTCACCCTCCGAAAAGGGTGAGCTCTGAGCAGCAGAACACTTCTGGTTATTTCTCCATTTGTGCATAGAAACTTCTCCTAATTACTTTCTATCCTTCATTTCTGGGTGTGGACGTTTTCCAGTTTAATTGATTGCAGCATTACTGTTTGTAAAGGAAACAGAATCCCAAATTTACAAATGTGAGGGAATAAATATGCTAAAACTCTGTGAAGCAGAGGTATTCCCATCCTGCACACACACTACTAGAGACAGCCCAGAAATGAACCTACTGTACTTCATTCTGCAGGCAGCTACGTGGTGCTAACAATGACCTGATGTTTGGAGGAATCCAGTTAATTTTTTTTAATTTATTTTTTAATTCAAGGAGTGTGGCCTGGCCAACGAGGAACTGGCAGAAAAGGAGAGGAAGAGGATGAAGGACTGCTTTGAGCGCTACCGAAGGTCTGGGCTGCAGTAAGCAGGACTAACCTAGACATAACTGTGTGGCTTAACTTATTATCTTGTGTTTCCTCTTTCCTGCCTGTCCCCTGCCCCCGAACTTGATTCATGGAGGGCATAAAATTAAACACAAAATGGACCAATACATACTAAACCTCCCCAAAGCATTGAAATGCTGCTTGTTTGCAGAAAACACCTTCTAAGAATGATACGTCCGGTCTTGTTTTTCAGAAAAAGAGCCATGAGGAGGGTGCCAAAGGACCGGCACCATGAGGCCGACTGGGAGAACACCACGGGCAGCGACAACACCGACACCGAGGGCTCCTGAGGGAGAAACAACGGGGACACTGAGGGCTCTGGAATGAGGGACAACAGGGACACCGAGGTCTCCTGAGAGACGAAAACAGGGACACCATCAGCCCCTGAAGGAGGGACAACACTGGCATTGAGGGCTCCTGAGTGCAGGAACCAACCCGTGAGGAAAACCCAGCCTGTGCTGGGGTGGCTGTGCCTCTGACTTTCACTCTGCATGGACTATTTAGATTTTAAGACCATCCAACCCAACATTCATGAAAAGTTAACGCGCGAAAGGCTAACGCGTGCCAAAGGTTGGACTCCGTGATCTCAGAGGTCTTTTCCAACCTCGTTGATTCTGTGTAACGGGACACTGTTGTTTGCCTCTGACACGCCCTCGTCCATCTCTCTTATAGGTTAATAAACACGATGAAATATCTGCGTGTGCAACAGTGCCCGGGGCTGAGCTGCCGGTTAATTAAAGAGTTAATTGAAGGCGGGTCCCTGGCGCTGCCCGAATCCAACATGGCCGCCGGCGCTTCAGCCCCCGCCCCCCGGCGCGCACGCGTGGTGCGATGCGGCGCGTGGCGCGGGCCGCGCTGAGGGCTCTGCCCCGGGAGGCGCCGCCATGGCGGCCCCGCCGCCCCCCGCCCGGACCCGGGGCCGCGCCGCCGCCTCCTCACCGCCCGCTCTGCACCGCCCCGGGGCCGCCCTGGGGTCCGGCCCGCCCGCTCTGCACCGCCCCTGGGCCGCGTTGGGTCCCGTGTCGCCCGGCCTGCACCGCCCCGGGGCCGCCGCCAGCTAAGCACTATCGCCTGGTGTACACCTGCAAGGTGGGCGAGGGAGGGCTGTGAGGGACAGGGGGACAGAGCTGGAGGGGGCTCCCGGTGTAGCTGCTTGCTTGTGGTTCTAAACCTGCAGTCAAAGACTAACTCGGGCTGGAGGAGCCGTCTGGAGGTTTCCAGTCCCACCCCGTTGTGCGAGGAGAATGTTTGGTGTCTGATGAGTATCCCCCCTCCTCAGGGAGGCACAGAGAGCAGTGAAACCCCGCCCGGCCTTTGTGCTGGGCTGAGCTCACGGCATCGAGCCGCTTGGGGTAGTTCGAGGTGACGGAGGGGGAGAGAAAGTTTTAATCGCATCAAGCGGGTTTGTCCTAAAGGCCCAGGAGCTGCAGTTTCCGCGCTCACAAAATCCGCTTTGTTTCCCAGGTGTGCCAGACGCGCTCGTCCAAATCCATCTCGAAGACCGCCTACCACCGCGGGGTGGTGATCGTGACCTGCCCCGGCTGCGGGAACCACCACGTCATCGCCGACAACCTGGGCTGGTTCTCCGACCTGCAGGGAAAGAGGTGGGTGTGCCGAGGGATCTTGCTCAGCCCCTGCTCAGGGGTGCAGCCGGACCCTCCTTGAGCTCCTACGTTATTTCTGTGATGCTTTTAAAATGTGGCTCAGGCAAAAAGACAGGAGTTTTTGCAGGGTGTAATTCTGTCGCATCCAGTTCCTTAAAGCACACAGAGTCGGTTTTATGTCACCTGTAATTTGACTGGCACTGTCTAGGATCCAAATAAATGGTGTGAAGCTGCAGCAGAAGCTGTGGGGTGCACAGGGATCCTTATTGGTGGCAGCAGGTGAATTGCTGCCTGTGGGGTTCTGTTCCCCTCAGGCTTTACCACATCGTGGCTGGGTTTCCCTGGATAAGTGTCTCAAGCATGTAGATTCATCTGCTGTGGAATTTCAGTGATTTCTAACTTCCTGAGATACCTTTAAAAGCTTCTGTTTAGCTGTAATTGCTAAATTATTGATCACAGTGGATAAAAATAGTCCCAGAAGGTTTGGGCGGTTTTCTCTGCTTCCCAAACTCTTTATGGAGGAATCCCACGGTGATGCTCTTGTGATTCACTGCGTGGTGTCAATATTGAGGGCAGAGTGGAGCAGGGAACTTGTGCTTGGCTGTGCTGGGCCTTTGCTGTGGTGTCACTGTCGGTTCTCAAATCGCTGTCCAGGAATATCGAGGAGATCCTGGCAGCCAAAGGGGAGAAGGTGAGACGTGTGGCTGGTGAGGAAGGTCTGGAATTGCTGCTGGAAAGCTCAGCAGAGCCCGAGTCCCAAGGTCAACTGGCAGAGGGGGACAGCAAGGAAGCCCCCCCAGAGCCTGGCAGCAAGGGACAGACCTGACACATGGGGCTGTGACCTGTGGGACAGACCTGACACGTGGGATTTGGGTTGTCCTGCTGGTGCCAAGAGACTCTTCACCTTCATTCCCTGATTTTCACAGCCTGTATTTAAAATAAACTCGGGTGTGGGTTTTTCTCTGTCGTGTGTCTTTGTCTTGTGTAACTTTGCCTTTGATCAGGCTGATGGCTTTAGAGGTGGCGTAGGTATTTTTCCTGGTACTTGTTTTGCTGACTTTGAGGCTGTTTTCAGTGCTCCAGCAGTGCCCAGAGCCCAGCTTTGTTCCCTGCTCAGAAAGCAGCCAGAAATTCTCTGTCTGTGTGATTTTGGCCTAACAAGGTGCAGCTGGAGCTGGAGGTTTCAGGGATGTCCCCTGCCCTTCCCAGGTGTTGCAGAGCTCTTGGAGGTGCATCCCATGGCATTTGAGCAGAGGGGCAATCGATACCACCTGAGGAGGTGAGTCCCAAATTCCAAAGCCAAAATAGTCCCACAGGAGGGTCAGATCACCAGCTCTTGCTGCTTTTATCTGTCCTTTGCCATCTTCCAGAGTTTTGTTGCTGTGCCCCCGGTGTCAGGGCTGAAAGTTCTGTATTTTGGGGTTACAGCATCAGCCCCCACACTCAGGGATCCCACTTGGGCATGAGGGTTTTGCAGCTCCTTGTTGGGGAGGGGGAGGATGGATGTGAAGGCAAAACTAGTAGTTGTGGAGCACACTGGGGAAAAGTAGAGCACCCAGAAAGTTACCTTAGAGTTCACTGGAAGATACTGAGGGGCTTTTTAGTTCTACTGATGCATATTAAGATTAGTAAGAAGAAAAAAAGTAATTAATGACAAATGCAGGTGTTTGCAGCACTCGGGTAGTGGTGGATCAGGCAGTGAGGTGATCATGTTGGACTTTGTTAGGGCTTGTTTCCTCTGTAGGGCTTTGTTATGGTTTTGAACTTGCAATGAAAGACTTATTTAGGGTGAAAGAGCTCTCTGGAGGTTTCTAGTCCAACCCCCTTGTTAAAGGAGGATGTTCAAGGTATCTGAGGTTGGAGATCCCACGACCTCTTTGGATCCCAGAAGGCAGTAAAACCCCTCTTGGCCTTTGTGTCTGGGGCTGAGCAAACCCCTTTCTCTCAGCCAGTCTTGTCCAGCTGCTCATGGTCCTTAATCAGCCAAGGATTCAGTGAGGGCATTGTGTGCATTAATGAATTTACTTCATCAGAAGTGTTCATAGCAATTTTATACGTGTTGCATTGTAATTATTGGGTCAGAGCAACAGGAAAATTGTCATGTTGCTGTTGGTGTGTCAGTTCAGAGTGATGAAACAGGGGCAGGACCTTCACCAGCCAGCTCGTGTGTGCTCAGACCCTGGTGAAATACAGCTCTCCCTGAAACAACAGCTGCTGGAGAGATCCAGTGTTGAGAAACAGGAACCTTGCATCTCAGAGCACTGCTGTGTGCTCACCCTGTGCTGAGCTGTTGGCACCTATTAGCACTGCTAGAAAAGTGCTTATTTTATTACCTTTAATCTGAGAATCAGCATTCTGCTTCCATGGTGCTGATGCCTTTGATGGGGTGGAACAGAGCAGCTGTTGCAGGATCTGTGTTGCCTTGGAAACAACTCATTTACAACCTGGCTTTTTTTGGCTGTTTTCCTTACCTTTCTTACCTGTTTACTGTGCTCCAGCTACAGGAAGGTGGTGCTAGTTTTTGCTGTGTTATAGTAAAAAATGTAGCAAAACCTGTGTTGGCCATTCCTGTATTTTAGTCTTTCCTTGTCCCACTGTCCTCTGGCACCTTGTGCCTCTGCAGCCCCCAGCTCTGAGCAGGGAGGGCAGCAGTTCTTGCTGCTGCTCTGAAGGTTCAGGCCAACATCACATGAGGGAGTTTGCAAGTAATACAAAAAAAATTTGCTGCTAAGAGATTCCAGGTAAAAAAAAAAGGAATTTTGTGCTCCCGTTTGAAGTGGGTTTTTCTGAAAAATGTTGTGTCCTGGGGCAGTGGGTTTGGTCTGGAAGGGCGACACAAATGTGTCTGGGGGGAGCCCAGCAGAGCTTGGTTTAGCCAGAAATGAGGAGTGGGGAGAAGCAGCTTTTCTCCTGAACTTGGAGGTGTGTCAGGATGGGGAAAAAGTGCTGTGAAGGCCCAGTGGAACAGGAGACAGGCTGAAGGAGCAGAGGAGAGAGACTGGAGGCAAAGCTGACCAGGGTAAGTTTTTGGGACACAGAGGGGAGGTGGTGATTTCCAGGGGGGCAAAGCAGCAGTCCCAGGGCAGCAAACAAAGCTGTTTGCACATTCTTTGACACATTCCACTGCGGTTAAGGGATGGATCCTGTTCCTGAATCCTGTCCCACAAGGGCTTTTCTGCAACAGGGCAAACACTGCCTCATTTTCTGCCTCTGTAGTGCTGCCAGTGTTCGGCCAGCAGAGCAGGACTGTGCTGGGCAGTGTCTGTCAAATGGGGGGCACTGGGTTCTGGGACCAGGGGTGGTAAAGGGGGCTGAGATGGGGTCCTGTGGGGTTGGGAGTGAGTGGCTGAGAGCCTTTCCAGCTGAGGAATATTGGTGAGGGCTGGAGCAGCATCACAAGGAGGCTCTGAGGAGGGCTGAGGGAAGTGTGGGGCCTCAGCCCTGAAGTGACTTGGCAGTAAAAAAAGATAAAATCTCCCCAGGCCCGACATCAGCCCTGTCCTGCAAGTGCCTCGGCTGAGTAGGAGAGGGCAGGATCTTGCTTTCTGCTGGGTTTTGAGAGTTCTTCATGAAGAGGATCTGCCCAGCACCAGGGACAGCCTCTGGTCCGAGTAACTCGCTCCACAGCTGCAGCAGCAGCACTGCACGGCCCCGGCAATCCCGCGGCTTTCCAGCGGGTGTCAGCATCGGAGAGCTCTTCCCGGCTTGGGATCGAGCTCTGGGGGCGTGGGAGAGGGAAGGGTTCAGCAGAGCAGCCACCACTGCGGGCTCTGGGCTGCCCTGGAGACTCAGTTGTAGCCAGTGCCTCCAGACAAGCCAGCGTGTGCTGCCTTCCCCAGCGCTGAGGATGGAGAGACAGGAGGTGAGACCCCATCACTCATCCACAGGGATGGCATCTGCTCCTGGGAATCTGAGCCTGCACACACAGACTTCTGGCACAGAACTACTGCATGGAGGCACCCAGAGGTCTGAGGATGGCTCTTCCTGGATCTTTGCTCAGGACTGGCAGTGGCCAGCACGACTTAGCCAGGCGTGGGAAGACCAGCTGGGACTTGGCTTTATCCTCACATTCAAACTCTGCTGCTCCTAAGGCTGTTTTCTAGCACAGTCCAAGAGCCTGCTCATGCCTGCTGCTCTGTGAGTGTCCTCTCTGAGGGCTGGTGCCAGGGCTGTGCAGTGCCCTCGCTGCCCTGGTGCCCTGGCAGCTGTTGGGGGTGAGCACAGCTTCTGGGCCAGGCGCCGGGGAGGCACCGGGATGGGCAGGGCCTGAAAGGAACGGCCTGGCCTTTCCTCGGCCTTTTCCAGGGGTCTTTTCTCACCATGCAGGGCTGCTCTGCCTGCCCTGTCGTCCTGGAAACTTCTGGGCAGGGAGTTCTCAGAGCTTTGTACCCTCCCTCCACAGCCACATCCATGCTGGAAGGCAGGCAGAGCTGGAACAGGGGCTGCTTCCAAGAGATCTGTGTGCTCTCAGTGCAAAGGGATGTGTAGGTGGGTGCACACACCCTTTTGTTAACATGTGGGGTGTCTGTCACCAGAGACCCCCCCACCCACACCCACCCCCATTCCAAAGGGCCAGGATTAGCCCTGCTGTCAGCCAAGAAATAATGGAAATGAGTATTTGCACTGAAGCTTAGACACAAATATTTATTAAGCACAACCCCCCCACATCCCTTCCCCTTGAGCTGTATTCATTTCTAATATATTAATCCATTTGGCAGATTATTTTTTAGAAAAAAAACAAGTACCTGTGGGTTGGAAATTTCCCATTAAAATGACATTAGCAAATGCACATGTAAAAAATAAATAAGCTCATACATTCAAGTATATGGCAAATAATACCTCAATATAATACCTCTGAAAGCTTAATGGTCAGATTCCAGTTCACCACCTGGCTGAGAGCTGCACAGGCCCGAGCCTGTAGCTGGTCAGGTCATCATCATCATCATCATCAATGTTTTCCTCTTTTACAAATGCCAGCTTGGCTGGTACAAAGGTGGCTGGGCAGGTCCTCCTCTCCCCTCTCCAGAACTCTTCCCAGCCCCAGGAAGGAGGCCCAGCCTTGGCCCAGTGGTCCGTGCAGCAGGTGAGTGCTCCCAGGTAGCAGGTAAAATGCAGCTACCACTCCACGTGGTCAGTGCAGGCAGGGAAAATGCCCCATGAGCAGCATCACTGGTCTAAAAACATCTCGCTGCTGGTTGGGAATGTTTCCATCACACGCATTTCAAACGGGAAGTGTTGATTTTATTCTCTACAGGAACGTCGCTGCTTCGGCACAACTCGGTGCTGCAGTTTCTGAAGTCCAAGATAGTCTCTGGGCAAGCGAAGGGAAAATACTGCACCTCCTGAAGTCAGGTCCCTGCTCCTCTCCTCCAGCTTTTCCAACTGGTCCAAAAGGGGAAGGAATGACAGTAAATGTGGCTGGGGCTCCCCTGAGGCTCCAGGTATTGGAGCCGGGTGGGGCACAGCCACGGTGCCTTGCCCAGAGCAGCTCTGCCAGGGCCAGGAGCAGCTCAGCACTGGTTTGGGGAGAAACACGGAGGCTGAAGGGCCATTATCCCGAGCTGCTGTTGGACACAGAAGGGAGGAAGGACAAGCTGTGGGCAGAAAGCTTTGCTGGCTGTCGAAGTGGGTCCCTGTCACACGCAGGTTCTGCCTCAGGCACCCTCACCTGCCTGAGACCTCGGCTCAGTGGCACCAGAGCTGCCCACATTTGCCATGGGCTGAACACATGAGCAGAGACCTTCCCCTTCCCAGGCACAGCCCCTGCCCTGGGCCTGCACAGCTGGCTGAGCTCCAGAGGTAACAAGTCCCACTAAAGCTCAGGGTGAGCGAGGCTTTGCTCCTGCCCAAGAGGTCCCAGGACAGCTCTGCCCAGGGCTAGGGAAGCAGGGAGGTGTCCAGGGCTCTGCAGAGTCCTCAGCAAACCTAAAATAAACTCTGAGGTGTGTGGGATGACGA